AAGGTGATGGTGGAACATACTGTTGCGCTTCGCTAATTCTGCCCCATGAATCATAGGGGTATCATCTGCTGGCAAATCTATGACTAGTCTACCCTGAGCCTGGATAGCATGCAAAACCTCAGTTGGTACTGGTAATGACATACCATGAACAGGTACTGGCATAGCATGTCTACCTCCCTGGTCATCATCTGAATCATTCGTATCACTAGTAACTACATCACCGATCCTGTCCTCCTTCTCCTGCTCCTCCTCTTCCAGTTCGAACTCGTTCACATCGAAGTCATTGCTTATACAGCCTACTTGACTTGAATGAAACTGCTCCTACGTTAATTAACCATCCAAATCCATGTTACCCTAAGTTGCTTCCCCTTCGACCCCCAATTCTTGCTCATTGCCTCCAACACCGTCAATGGATGGCCCGTCCAGGACACCCTGCATCATATACCCATTCTCCACCACCACCTCAGCATGGGCGCATTGGAACCTTGGAGCACCCTATTATAGTGGGACTAGTGAGCAAGGTCACGTAAGGGCATCAGGACATAGTGTGCTCTAGTCTTCCCAGTATCAAACCTCCCCTTAAGTGTGAAATCACCGCCAAACTTTGCATTCAAACGAACACAAAGGTCGTTGAAGCTAGGAGGTTCATCAAATCATTCCAATTCTTCTTCCATATCCTCAAACATACCATCTTCTCTCCTAACACTTTCTCCATAAAAAACATTAACACAACAATCCATCTACAAAAGCGTTTCAGAAACTTTATCAGGTCATCGAAATCGTCGTGCGTACTAACTAACTGACTACACCTATACTAACTAACTATGCTAACTAATCTAATATTAATACCTATACCAACAATTCTAACTAACTATACTAACTAACTACGCTAAACACACTAATATTAATACATATACTTACTATACTAAGTAACTTTACTAACTATACATATCTAGCAAACTGCAAAACTATACATAACTTATATTTACTAACTTCACTAAATATCTTTGCTAACTAATTGTATAAATCTCTATCCAGTCAAACTAAATTTGAATCCTAACCCTAACAAAAAAATTGACAGAGATGCAGAAGAGCATTACCTCGATAAAGATTATGGGTCACCACAATCCACCAATGGAAAGGAGATGGTCGTCGGCGGCAATGGCCGGCCAGCAGCGGCCTACTTCTGGAGGGTGGCGGCAATGGCCGGCCGGCCGGTGGCAATCCCCCCTTCTAGAGAACGACGATGGGGACGGGCGGCGCACGGCAATGGGGAGATGGAGGGGCGGCGGCGACAGTAAGGGAGGCAACAAGACAGAGGGAGATGGAGATGGAGTCAGGGAGGACTGGCACATGGCGGCGGGCGCGGCGGGCGCCCAGGGTCGCGGCGGGCGGGAGTGCCGAGCGGGGCGTGTCGGGCCCGGGTGCGCTGGGCGCGACTCGTCGAGCGTGGCGTGCTGGGGGCTCGCTGGCGGGCGTAAGCGCGGCGGGCGCGGCGTGGCGTGTCGGGTAATAAGCGTGTTGGCGGGGCGGGTGGCGGCGTGGTGGGTTGTGGGCTCGCCGGGCGGGCGGTGGCGTGGTGGCGGCGTGGCGGGGCGTGGTGGCGGCCCAGCGTGGCGCGTCGGGCGCGGCGGGCGTGGCACGGCGTGGTGGCGGCGCTCTGGGCGGGGCGCGACATGGTGGTGGCCGAGTGAGACAGAGAGAGAAACGGAAGCAATGCCGGGTACAAGGGGCTGCCGTGCCGTGATGCGTGGCGTGGCAGGCCCGCCGCTCCATGACTGGTGGCGCGTCAGACCTACCATGTCAGCGGTCGCCGCAGCCGTTGACTGCCCCCTGCCGCGCCTCCATGCACGGTGCGGCAGTGTGAATTAGCAGCGCCGTGCAAACAGACGCGTCCAAAAGTATTAGTTTTAAAGAAAAAAAATTAAACAGTGTCAGTTTTAAAAATAGTTTAAAAATGTGTTAAAAATAAAAAAAAAATCCCGGAGGTGAGGGCGTGCCACATGCCCGGGTAGAGCTTGAGCGTCTTGTCCTTGCTCGCCGCCGATCGGTACAGCAGCTCGCTCACCGACGGGTCCGTCACCTTATCCGCCCCACCGTGTACGATCAGAAACGGCAACGACACCTGCGGGCACGCAACATCTATAAATAAATTCATTCAACGATCATTATGTCATCGGTTGTCAGTATATATATAGTTTGGTTGCTATTATTATCAGCGCGCATCGACCAGCTAAAGCCGCAACGGAACCACTTGGTCTAGACACCAAAGCACCAGTGAACTGACCAACAACTTTGTTTGGACTGGCACACAGAGCACCCAACTAGCAAAGAAATTAAAACTGCTTGGTTCTATGAAAAAAAAATGGCAAAACAAACTGCTACTAGAGGTGCACCACAACTAAAGAAGAAAAAAGGAGTGTCTAGTACTCTAGTTATCCGCCGACATATTTTACGTGATCAAATCTGTCAAATTTTTTAAAGTGCGACTCAGTAGTAACAATTGTAGCATAAATCTTAAAGCATAATCAAATGTATAGAAATCTGACAAATTTAGTACCAAAAAATTTGTCAACAAATAAATAGTAAAAGTCAAAAAAAAAAGTACCAAACTTGTTACCATGAAGCAGGAGAGCCTCACCATTATGCCAAGTTCGTCGAACACCTCAACATATAATTAACAACTCTGGCTTCCCAAAATGCGTAACTCCGTCGATCGAGCGTTCACCGAATCACATAGCTAGGTGGCTCAATGACAATACCTTGAGGTTCATGATGCCAATAGCGCCATCGTCGCTGGCCTAAGGATTGGATTGGACTTTCACCCAGAGAAAATTAAACCACCAGTGGGTTGAGGAGGCACTAAAAAGACTCCTTCAATAAACAGCCTGTTTGGTTGGGGTGAAACGATCGTAAATGATCGTAAATTTTCGACCGGAACAGTATTTTTCTCTCACACAAACCAGCCAGCAGTACTTCTTCACGAACCAGCGACGAACCAGCCCAGCCAAACGAACAGGCCAAAAGTATGCAAGGCCCACAAGCGCCATTGTCATGGCTCGAGCCCAACCTCCATCACCCCAACCAAGCACAACTTAAGCACTGTCTGGTATAAGGATGAAAACGGTCGAACTTGGTCGAAAAACTCATCAACCGTTTTCTACTTTTACATTTGAAATACGAAAGCGAAAGCGAAAGCGGACAAGCCGGACATAAAAACGAACACGAACTTACGGAATATCTAGAATTTCGGAAACGAACCAATTCGAGCGGAATTATGTCGAACACGGTCGGTATGCGAAAATTCAATACGAAATACCGACCCACAATGCATAGCATTAAACAAGTGCACGACCAAATACATAACAAGTTCACAACTAACAAGTGCATGATCTAGTTCAAGTGCATATCATTAAACAAGTGCATGACCAAATACATAATAAGAGAGATGAGGCTGGACGTCGTCTATAAGAGAGGGCAGCTAGCCACCAGTAGAAAGAACGCAGCTGCGTGGTGAGCAGCCTGTAATTGGGCTGTATGACCTGTGCAGTTGGCCAAATTCGGTTTAAACTAAAATTTGAATTCGAAATATTTCAAATTAAAAGTAGAAAAGTAGAAAACGGTCGAAAAATGTGTAAACCGTTTTCTACTTTTACATTTGAAATACGAAACATCTCAAATGCGAAAGCGAAAACGGTAAAGTCGGACAAGAAAATGCGGATTCGGTCGGATTAAATATAGAAAACGATACGGTTCGGTTCGGGATATTTCCGTTCCGTTTTCATCCTTAGTCTGGTATATGCTAGATGATGCATGCGGCCGAGAAAGCTGGATACGGGGAGAAGGGATTAAGAGATGGGGGGAACGAGGGGGCATACTCAAAAGTGATAGTTGTTTTGTATAAACTTGGTCATACTCAGAATTATTGTTTGACTCGGTGGTCGGTACTATATATGCTAAACTTGCATTATTCTTTCTCGGATGGAGGGAGTATCTTTCTATCTACTCGGAGGGTTTAACTATGTAATTCCAATCATTGATCTCAATCCTAAGTCAATTTAGGATTGCTTTCAGTCAATTTTTATATGCTTTATTAGACATCTAAAAAATGCTTTCATGTAATAGGTATATAACTCTCTTCCTATTGCAAACAAGTAATATAATTGTTTTCTAATGAGTGCTTGTTTAGTTCCCAAAAACTTTTCAAAAAAGTGCTACAGTAGCCATCACATCGAATCTTGCGATACGTGTATGGAGCATTAAATGTAGACGAAAAAAAAACTAATTGCACAGTTTGGTTGGAAATCGCGAGACGAACGTTTTGAGCCTAATTAGTCCATGATTGAACACTAATTGCCAAATAAAAACGAAAGTGTTACAGTAGCCAAAATTCCTAAAATTCGCGAACTAAACACAGCCTGAATAATACATAGTAGTCTGGGTGAATGTCGTGTCTGATGGGGCAGTATTGGACTGTGTATCTGAGTGGAGTAATAATTTGTGGATTAATCTCCTTGCCTGGTCAAAGAAGCAACTAATCGAACAGTGACATTCGTTATTATTAGTAAACACGTCGGTGGCCGGTTAACCGAACCACTAATTTAAGTTAGTATTATTGATCTATTGGATGGATGCAAGTGTTGAGTAGGTTGGTAGATCTCCATCCACATCGAGAATCACATTGTGACAAGATGACGTTCGACGAAGGGTCACCAGGCTGCTGGCCCATCATGTGACTAGTATTGGGAATAAAGAAAAACAAAAAATTGAAGACAAGCAGGAACGAAGATGATGGCATCTGAACTGAATCCTGACCTGGTGTAGGAGGTTCTGCTCGAGGTCCAAGCTGACCTTGAGCAGCTCGTATGCGGTCTTGAGCCTGGGCTTGTCCTTGTAGCAGTAAGGGTTGCCCCGGATCTCGTCCCTCTTCTCCTGCGTCTTGTAGGCGGCGTCCATCACGTCGTTGCTCGGCACGATCTTCCACGTCGGGATGATGGAGATCATGGCCCGAGGATGTTCACCACCAGCGGGTGCGGCCGCATGTCGTCGGCGACCTTGCACATGGGCGCCACCAGCACGGCGCCGCTCCAGAACTCGGGCCGCCTCAGGTGGAGGAGGAGAGCCACGGCGCCGCCCATGGACTCCCCGAGCAGGAACCGCTTGCTGTCGCTGTCCTTTGACTGCGACTGCGACCGCCGCACCACGGAGGAGAAGTAGTCGTCGTAGTCCCGGACCAGCAACTCGAAATCCGGCACGTAGCCCTGCCGCTGCCGCTGTGCCGCCTGCCGGAGAAGAATTGAAGGACGATTCAACTCTTCAACTGCTTTCAGGGCAGAGCAGGGCAGGGAAGACGAAACAGAGGAGAGTTGACTCTAGATGATTCATGGGGTATAGATGAGGGCGAATGCCAATGCCAAGCAGGGAAGGGGAGGAAGGGATATGTATGTATGTACTCCTACATGCCATCTCTTACTCGTAGGATAAATAAATATATACAGTTATGATATATGCAGGATTATATTGTTCAAACTCAGCATGCGCGCACAAGATTTTTATTTATCTATGTAGCACCTAGCGAGCGTATGATGAATGAATGGACGATCTCAATTCAACAAGAGCAGCAGTCCAACAGATGAAGGAGACCTCTCAGACAACGTAAAGCCAAGCCAAGAAAAAGACTAGGTCCAACACGAAATACACACAAAGTTCCATCTATATCCATCCATCTTGCTGATGCATTTTATTTAACGACCTTGATGGTGGCCTGTGACATTATGAGAGTCTCACATATGTCAACACCATCGACTGTCCACAGATGGATGTCATCTTCTCATACACTTATTACACCCAACTAAGTAACTACAAGTCAGCCCTCACATCAACTAATTAAATATCAAATCTAGTAACTACATCTGGTTTACTATGGTCTACCTTTACAAGATGGTATATTACAAATTATCTTTAAAAAATTAAATATGTGTAGTATCAACTACTCAATGTTTTTTTTTGGCTAACAACATTGTTCTTGTAACTGTATGCCACTGTTGGATCCAAGCTGGGAAACTGATGGTACCCTCTCATTCAACCATTTGATGATGTCTGCAAACACAATATCAATGTTCTCCTTGGGTTCTCCTGAAGTCAAAGCATGGCACATCCCAGGGTATAACTTCAATGTCTTGTCCTTGCTTTCCGCTAATGTATATAGAGCCTCACTTACTGTGGGTTCAGTTACAGCATCATCACCACCATGGACTATGATGAATGGTAGAGTAACCTATTCGGAATGAAGACACGAACATAGAAACACAAACATGCATTATTGTTTCAATGACAGAATGCAACATACCACATCCATGCAAAATCTAGTTTTATTAACTGATGGATGATATCTTATACAATGATGCAAAATCAGTTGTGGCCACACATGATTTAATTTCCACATTTATTCCAAACTATTTAGAATATTTTTATTCATTTATAACTTTGCAATGGTTTCCCATGTACAAATAAAATATGTGCATGTGTACTCCACATGAATCTTTACAATGTTTGTGAAAGCAAGTGTTGTTCTTTTTGCACATTTACATCATCAAGAACAAAGTAATCTCTATGATTATGAAACTACATTTTCAGAAGAAGGCAAATTTTGCTCGAGGACACCATTCTTATATGGTATTTGTTGATACACGCCATCAACCCTTGAATTTGCCCGGTATATGTTATTATGAAAAGCGTGTATTTTTATCAGTGGCCACTATGCAATAAAATAATCATTTATCCAAAATGTCTAGCGCTCAAATTTTGTTAGGTTGGATGCACACAAAACCTCAAATGCCATTTTTTGAATCACAAGAGTATTGTAAGAACGAACACAATGATAACTTTCCTCATACCTTATCAAGATTGCTTTCAATATCCAAGCTTGCCATGAAAATTTCATAACCAGTCTTTAGCCTAGGCTTTCCTTTGTAGCAATAATGATTATTTCTTACCTAATAATAAATAATGGTATTAACAAGTAGCACAAAAAAATGTTTTCCATGAAACATATTAGCTTTTAGGATTGGGTCATCCTATCTGTTACCATACCTCTTCACGCCACTCCTCGCTTTTAATTGCCCTATCTATGATATCTTCATTAGGAATGATTCTCCATGTAGGGATCACATTGCTGAGCTTACTTAAAATTGAAATCACAATGGGGTGAGGCTTCATATCTTCTACTATCTACACGAATGTTAACATCAATGATCAATATCATGATCAAACCTAACATACATTATAGTGTCCTATGACGAACAACTATAGACAACTTATCAAAGATGCCAATGCACCTAAAGAAATTTGAAAAAAAAAAAGACAAATTGTTGGAAAGTAACCTTGCACATCGGAGCAACCAAAATGGCCCCATCCCAAAAGGTAGGTTCCTTTCTGTGAAGCATAAGCACAATTGCTCCCCCCATGGATTCTCCAAGCAAGAATCTCTTTTGTTTCTTATACTCTTCTTTCTCTATACAAGGGGAATCAGGCTATTAGTTCGTAAAATGTTACATCAAGTCTAATAATAGATTGATAGGAATTTCATATACATTTCTTTTTAAGTTTTCTTCTTAAAGCATGTGGTCATTTAAGAGAAAATAAATGGCTTCATATGAAGTGGTTAAAAAAGGGCAACATAACAGGACACTTGTATTAATTTTGTAAAACATACCACAGACACTTGCAAAGTACTCAGAGCAATCAACCACAATGTCATCAAAACTACTAATATATCCTTGAAGTCCAGAAGACTTTCCATGGCCTTCATAGTCCATTCCATGCACAACGAATCCAGCCTGCGCCAACCTTGTACCGGTGCCTAAAAGTAATAATCCCAATATGTATAAGCTAATTATGAGACTTTTAAAATATTTATGCTACATATGTTAAACTATAATGTAATTATATTACCCTAATATGACCTTGAAAGTCTATGGGGGTTTCTAATTATCATTCATGTTTCTACCATAGTTAGTACGTCTAAACTCATCACTATTCATTCACGATCAAGATGCAATTCATATTTTTACCACAGTTAGTCTAAACTCATCACTATCCATTCGCGATCAAGATGCAATGACATTGTTATAATTTTAAGTAAAAGTGCCCATGGAATTCACCAAATTATAATATTTACCTCTCATTGAAATACTGCATTCCATGGCATATCCTAAAAAAAGGTAGCAAAAAAATAAAATACATATGTAACAGGCAACTTCACTTGGATTGGAAAATTAAAAAACAACATCACAATAGTAACCAAGTTACCATGGCATAGAAAGATCAGGGCTTTCGGTTCAGAGTTCAAAGGTCTCCATTGGCATGTGAAGAGATTAATTCCTCGTGCATTCAATACATATTCCTGGAACACAAAAATCCAAATGGATAATATTGAGAGGAAACATGGTATGAGCTTTAATGAATGGCTGACTCTTCATATCGGCTTGAAAAGTATAAAAACTATCTACATAAATCAAAGTATAAATTATAAGAATAAACAAAACAAATTGACCTCATCATACTTGATACCGTCGTTATCCATTTGCTCTCAAATGGAAGCAACAACACCAAGGCATAAAACAATGTGTACACATGCAACTTATATATTTAGGAATGGTCAAACAGAAATAGGTACCCCATTGTGTGGATAGTTTAATTTGAAGGTAAGTAGTTTTGTGTGGTGGTGTTTTTATGCATGGATGGGAACACAAATTGTGTGGTAGAGGCGTAGTTACATTTATGCGGTCCAAGTTTAGCCAAAAAAAACTATCTTCTCCATAAGCTCATTTTGAAATTTTATGCTTTGGATTAGCGTGCTCAAATTACCGGATAATCATTTTTTTGTCTTTATAGATATAGTATGGTTTATTCTGCCAAACAAGAGATTAATGGTTCACATCAAGAATATTCTTTTTTATTTTGTAGTTGAATCAAATCTTTAAGAAATTTTAGAATGGTCAGAGACCAAGAAGTCATCAATGCCTCTCTAACATGCTAACTAAGTTTCCATTCATATACTCGGGGGCACCCTTTATCTGTGAGGAAATTACTAAGCTTAAGTTGTTCTTCTTTTCATTCACAAAGTGGCTAATACGTTAGCAGGTGCGAAGGTTGTGCTTTTGACAAAGGTAGTCACAACAATTATAGTTTGTGTTTTCCTAGCCTCTATCCCCATCTATTTGAGAAAATTCCTCATTTGAGACTTACTTCGTCTTTCTTTGGCCCTAGAAATTTCATTCTTTCTCATTTGACACTAGACTTATCTTCCGTTCCTTATTTGACACTTTCATCACTTCTATTTACTTCTTCCATTAAATGACCTTTAGGACCATGGTAGAAAGATAAAGATACCCTTGGTTCCCCATACCTTAACCGTGCATTCCACTCCATCCGCACAAAAAAGCACCTGGCATTGAAATCGTAGCCTAGAATCAGCAAGCATTCATGACTAGGTAGGTGGGCCAGGATTGGTGATCATATGACGTTGTCTTGGGCACCGTGGGCACATTGCCTCGGTGGCGCCGGTGCTGCTTCATCGCATTGGGGCCGAACATGTGGCCTGGGAGGCACCCCGCGCAGGCTGCACACACTCCGGTAATGCGATAGGGTACTATCGCCAGGCATGGTAGTAGGCATTGGAGGTCTTGAAATGCCGGAACGCTTCCATGTGTAGGATCTAAGGAACTGGCTAGAGGGAGGTGAACAGACGGTGACCAATAAAAATTCATAGCACTAGGAAAAACTAATTAGTAACACAAAAGAACCTAATACACTACTTTCACTATGCTAGGTGAAGGTTTGAAACATAGGGTGACAAACCACAAATCAAGTCTAAGAATAATGTAATAACGCAAAGTAAAACCTGAATGAAAATTGAGATTAAGAGATCACCACAATGGAGACACAATACTTTTTCCCATGGTATCGATGACTTATCATTGCTGATCCATGTTGAGGTGGGTTCATTGTTCACTAATTATCTATCAAGTCTTCACTTGATCTCTAAGCCGGATAGAACAAGCTTGTGTTTTGTGCTTGCTTGCTCACTAGTATGTGTAGGAGCTCCCTTGTGCTTGCTTGAATAGCTGCAAGGTTTGTGTGACCTTGCTCTAGAATTGATTAGGTGAGCTCTCACTAGTTTGCCACCTTAGTTTTCCTTGTGTCGAATCTTTTATAAGGTGCTTGATAAAATAGATAGTTGGGTGTGGTCGTGGCTATAGACGATTAGTATAATTCCATATTTGTTTCGACTAGCCAACATGATTAGATTTATAAACAACTATTCACCCCCCTCTAGTCGGTCATCACGACCTTACAATATGCATAACACCTCTCTTAAACCTCCATCCCCTCTTTGTGTAAATGGGTTAACCCTGAGGTTCTATTTTTTGGTGCAATGGCGATTATAGGATGACATCATCCTCCTAAATTTTGATTCTAAGGTGGTTCTTGGGTCACATAGGCCAACAACACCACTACTTGCAAGCTACTAACAGGCAAGGGTGCTACATATTAGAACAAATATAGGAGGGTGGTATTGAATTATGTGTTGAAATTTACTTTACGTATTTTGAACAAAAATAGGAGGGAGGTATCAACTTATTTGTTGAAAATGTATTTATGTGAGGAAATATTATCAAATAATGACATAGACAAAAAGGTATTGCTCACACGTTTAAACATTAAACACTTCATAGATATTGTAGCAATTCTTCCCAGCATATGCCATCAATAAAGTATGTATTCTTATTGTAGATTGATAATGACACATATAACAAGTAATTTATAAAAGCATTACATGTGCGTTAATATGAACCAACTCATTTTTATTTTACATATGTTAGTTATCATACTTGCATGATCCAATTTCATACTCTTGCCTGTAATTTGACTACTTCCACCTCTTGTATTTTCCTCCAAAGAACCCATGATGGTGATGCTTCCACCGTAGAAGGCCATGTTTTCCTCCAAGCCCAATGTGCTTCCCAAATTTTCCATGCTTGAACTTGCCATAGTATCCATGATGATGATGCTTAAACTTGCCAAAATGCCCTAAATGGTGACCATGAGGGTGATGCCCATGGGTTAAGTGATGTACACCATAGGCAGCGGCAGCGGCTGCTGTCGATCCGCCAACAAGTGTCGCATCCATGACCTGAGAACATGCAACATTGTGGTATCAAGTTATATAGGTATATGTCACACTATAGTTAAACAAAAGTGAACGCATGAACTAGGCTTATATAGTATAATACTTAGTACCATTAATCTAACAATGCTAATATGTAAAACACCCATGCAAATAACAGGAATTGACACACTTGGCCATGTGATTAGTTATCCTTCTTAATTTGATCTCACTCTCATGATGAGGTGCATATGAAGAAAAAAATGATAAATGCACACGTACCATGATGTTGAGTAGCCTATAAACTAGCACCAGGATAGCCACCCATCGATGGGTAAGCACTTTGATTGTATGATGGATATCCAGATGGTGGGTAACCATTGTGCGAAGAGTACATAGGTAAAGGATACGAATATGATCCTAATGGTGGTGGACATAAAGATCCATGTTGTGCATATGGATATGCATATGCAACTGGAGGTGCAGATGCATATGATCCAGCTGAATGTACTGGAGGATAGCCAATAGGGGGATAGCATCCTGTGTCAGCATGATGATGGTCCTTTCCACCTCCCATGTTTTGTCACCGAGATTATTGTATGAAGAATATTGCTAACTATAAAAATGCATATACAAACAGGCCCCATTCGCTTCGCTGAAAAAACAAACCGAAACACTGTTCCGGCTGATTTGTTGTGAGAGAAAAACATTGTTCCAGCTAAAAAAATAAGCTAAAAAGTACGGATTATAAGACAAACAAACAGGGCCATAATGAGGTAATAATTAATATAAAAAAATCTCATGGTTAAAAATGACAATGATGACACAATGAAAACAAAATGGGAAAACTTGCTCTACAAGGTTGATCTTTTTACATGGAAAATAGGAATTTTAAATTCTTTGTCCATTATCTTTCATGTTACAATAAAGTTTACACTAATATAGTTCGTTATAAGTTTCTCTCAAAATCAAAAGTACATTATAATGTGAAAAGTATTCTGTTTGGCTACCATAAAGGGGCAATATTAACTAATGCAACTATATAAAATAAATGGTGACAAAGTGTATGTGCACTGTCGAGATTGGGTAGAGCATGAGTTAGTAGAACATACACGCACCAATGTGGCAATGTACAACACACAAGATTTCAACGCATGTTTTCCAATTGAAATTTTGAGACATGGTAATAGTGACATGCATGTCATGAGAAAGTAAAACTCTCAATAGGTATGATACACTAGTTATCCAATACCACCAGCAATAGAATATAAATATATAACACAATTTCTCACATTTAAAATGACTGTCGAAACCAATAGAACAACATGGTATTCTAGGTACACACAGTTTGCTATACCTCACTAAAATAAGAGGATGTACTGAAACACAAGTAAAACATATTATTTATTTTTTCGCATTACCATCGTTTGACCAATTTTTTAGAGAAGGTCAAGTTAAGAGAAAATTGAAAAAAAAAATGAAAGCTTGCATACAAAGTGCTATAGGAGAAACAACACCCAAAGTTGGGTGCTTTACATTTGCAAATGGCCTAACTACCGGTAATAAGGAAATTCAACGGAAAACATATTTGTATGTTAAAAAAGATTGAAAAAATAAAATTTAAACTATGGAGGAGACTTATGTCCAGGTCTATATAAAACTTAAAAATAAACCTGATGATGTGTACAAGGTGTATAAGGTTAATAGGGAAAAACATATGTAGGTGTGGTAAAGTAAAAGAAAGAAAGACATACTTACACATTAAAAATAGGATTAAATGTGTTCACATTTGTCGATGTGATAACACAAAGAAATAAAGATACACCTGTCACATAAAAAATAGGATTAAATGTGTTATTTAAGTTTTTTTAATAATGTTCTCACCTGCAGCATAGAATGCCTTCAAATGTTTTCGAAGATTCTACATTCGAACTTTGGTGAAGCCGTAAACAAATTTCTAGTGATTTTGTAACTTTTAGCTTACGTGCTGCTTCGATGGACGTTTAATCAAAACGGTGTCCAAAACCCAAGCAACTATAGAGATGAAAATGGATCAAATATAAATAGATATATACAAATATGAATATAGATAATCTTTTTCTCTGATTCATAATCGAACAAGGATCTTGTGAGAGTATGTTGGATACTGTATAAGTATCCGTGTAAGTCTGTGCAGGAGGACGAAGCAGAAGTTAGGAAGCCCATCCACGTATAAATATTAGATCAAGAGATAATTAGATACTAGTAATAAAACAACTCGAGAACAATTAAGGACATTGAATATCTAGACAATACTATACTATTTGACTGATCATGGATCATCCGATTCGACGATCTCGATCCGACTCACGAAAGAAAACCCACTCTGACCTAACCGGTCATCACGTCGGGTGGATGCAAACTGTTTTTTTTTTCTCTCTTTTTGCTCGGAACAAATTCTGAGTTGAAACCAAGCCTATTTTTTAGACCGTGGGCCGACCAACTGGCCCAACTAGTAGAAAAGAAAATTTGAGAAATTAGCGCTGGCTAAATCTCCGAGCATATCTCTACAACTAAAACATTCATAACTATTCCGTCCACAGGTGCGACATCAAAGCCGCTCCATGCGATCAGATCAGGAAGGCAACGCGCACTCGCTCCATGCGATCAGCTCAATCCCCATAACAGCCGCAGCAAATCAGGAAGGCAAAAATCATTTCCCGTAACAATCGTGATCAATTCCGTGATCACCCCACGCCGCCAATCACGCGAGACCGCGCCGTCACCTGCACCGCGACCTCCCTGGCACTCTGCAGTCGCACGGCACCGCGTCCTCACCTTCTCGTGCCTGGCCCTCGCGCCACCTTCGCCATCGCACACGCCATCCGCCGATCAACGCCATCATTCAATCGTGCCCTATCCACGTCCTGCCCTGTACCGGCCCCGTCTGACGCCCCGTCTTGTCCCCGTCGCCTCGACACCTCTGGAGCGCCCGTCGCCTCGCCGCCCTACCCGCTGACATTGGCGTACCCTGTCACGACGCCGAGCTAGCGACGAGCACCCACCAGGTACATCACCAGGACCCTATATCCCCATCTGTCTTCCCTTCCAGCTATGCGAAATGGAACACCCAAACCCAAATCCTAACAGCAGCACATGGACGAAGACGACCACGGCTAATCCTAGCAGAAGCACACGGACGACGACAACCAACGGAGCCGTCGCCGAATCACCCCGCTCAAGTCTCCGTGGCACTACGCCCTCCCCACTAACGCTGCTACTTTGCGCCGCCGCAGGCTCAGGTCTCCACCGCCGCTGACACACGCCAGGCATGCGAAATCAAGACGCCGCTTCGATGTCCATTGCAACAGATCACTGATCTCGCCACCTGCAGTCCACGGAGCCTGCAATAGATCAGTGATCATGGTGAGCGGCCGAGCTCCTTAGCGTGAACCACCAGCCCACCACTACCAGCTGGGCAGCACAAGCATCACGCCTACGAACTCCTGCCCCGCACCTCCATTGTCAGGCGTGAGCTTGCTCTGGGGAACAGCCAGTCCTGGCCTTGCTCCTCCGCCCTTGGTAAGCCGCAGGTGAGCTTCCCCGCACCCCTGCGCTCCTTCTCCATGCACGCGCGCGCGCACAAGGCACACTGCTCAACTGCAAGCTCGCGTTGCTGGGAAATGGCCGCCGAGCACCGGTCGTGCTCTGTTCCGTGCTCTGCTTTGCACGAGCGTTCCAAGCTTGTTAGCTTGATGACATCAGGATGACATGTCCGCACTTTCTTGCCGTTTTCCTTTAGAAGAATAAAAGAGGAAATACATTGAAAATACAAGGACCCATACCCTTTTGCATGGACTCGGTCCATGGTGGACCGCTCACACACCACACCGCCGATCCATGGTTCATGGACCTGTCAGTGTTTTGTTTTTTATGTGGACATTCTAATAAACATCCTGTTAGTTGTTGACAATTTTCTGAGGATATTTATGAAACTAGAATAGTCTCCCTTTGCATGATCGGTTATCGAGACCATACTGTTTATAATTACATTTTTCATTACACCATGGTCAACTACTCAACTGGAAGCCAAATGTGCTCCTTTTCTTTTTTTCTATCTCTGCAATATGGCAATGCTTTAGATTTAGTGCATTTTGGATAGTTCAGAGTGAGCTCATTTGTTTGAACAGGAACATATGTCGTGCTGTTTGGATAATTTGCAGTGAGTTTGTTTGGTTTTAGTCCATCCATTTTGGTTGGAATTTTGAGCTTTTTGCACTGCCTGATGATCGCCAATTTAGTCCTCATCCTGCCATGCAAACCACATTTCATTTCTTTTGCCCACAAAATTTGCTCGTATATAGGTATTGGGCATGAAAAAACTAAGTGGAACAAAACTTTTTTTCCTGAACATCTGTTGCTATTTACTTGCAAGTTCATAGAGTTGCCTTGATGATATGCAAATATGGATCGCTCGTGTTATCTTAATAGGTTCGTTGAGACAACGGCCACAAACAACACCTAATGATCGAAGCACGATAGAAAACTGGTTGTTGAGGCCTCCCCTTAGGGAAAGGCTCCGATGACTACAATAAGTCTTCTCTGCTGAAATTGATTTTAATCCAAACTTGTGATCACTGACAAATTGGTAGTTGTTAATATAACTCATCTGCCCCGACTGTTGCAACCACCTCTAAAAACAAAAAGATTCAGCCATGCTTTTCTATGGTTGGGGATTGGTAGGTTTAAAATCTATGGTGTTGTTTAGATCCTCAATTTTTGTCAACTTTTTCAGGTACTAAAGTTACTTTGTTTCGAAGACAAGGAAGTTCGATTCTCTACCCCTAACCCTCCTAAACCTAAGAAACAGAGGGAGTTTATACTAAAGATAAAAAAAAGGTTCTCGATATATGATACATTCATCTTTTGACCATTTTAATGTAATAACCACACATATTTATACTTTTACCTACTTTCTTTCAATCTAACCAGAATCATAAATTACGTGTTTCAAATGTGTAGAGGTGCAGTATTAAACCTATGAGTATTAGACAATTCTTAGACTGATCACATGTACATATGAGTGCATAGGTACATGCATAAAATAGTATTTCTAATTTAGCAAAATAGGGTATATTATCATTTTGTTTATCGTTTGAGAAAATATGTCATCATTTTGTTTAACTTGCTAGCATGAAATAATTTATAGCCGCTTTGGTTTCAAAGTTTATTGTTTATAACTGTAAGAACGATCACATTTTTAGAAGATCGTTATTTCTATATTAAAAGACTATTTTCTTTTTAAAAAAAACTGTCTTCATGTATTTTTAGACATCTTTCCTGCATGGAGCCTAATGAAAATCATAGTTGTCGCATGCCATTGAGAGACTTGTCAAACCAGA